CCCAGTCCACCTCACACTAGCCTCAACATCCCAGTACACACTCACACTAGCCTCAACATCCCAGTCCACATTCACACTGAGCTCAACATCCCAGTACACACTTACAGTAGCCTCAACATCCCAGTCCACCTCACACTAGCCTCAATATCCCAGTCCACACTCACACTAGCCTCAACATCCCAGTCCACCTCCCACTAGCCTCAACATCCCAGTACACACTCACACTGAGCTCCACATCTCATTAAACACTCACATTAACTGACCTCAACATATGCAGTATAGTAGTAGTAGTCAATATCACAGAACACACTCATACTGAGCTCATTTCAACTGATTTAACTTTTTTCAAACTCCAGTCACTGAGGAACCCACTACAGGAGATACAGAAAATGCTTTAAGCAACAAACTGCTTTTAAAACCTGCAATGTATGCAACAACTTTACCAGCTTCAGGAAAATAGTTAAATTCAGCCTTGGGGTGCAGAGGGCTCAAAACCCAGGGGATACAGCAAGTACCCATGCCTTACTGGAGTGTGTAGCACTGGAAATATCAGTTCCCACTAAGCAGACACTAAGTAGCGCAGTAGACAGTGCATGCTCTTCAAGCCACACTGCAGAGTGTTGGCCAACAGGTCAGTTACCTTTCCTGAATTTCTCTGCCTGGTCTCTCCACTGCTTGACTTCATTTTCATTCACTAGCCTGTGAAAGAAATTAGAAAGCATTAGAGAGACCGACAAACCTTCCTTCAGCAGTGCATTTTAATCAAAGTGAATGTAGAGTTGTGTGGTGGCTCTGTGGCTAAGGATCTGTGCCTGTGCTTGGAAGGATGCCAGTTCGTATCCTGTGGCCAGCAGAGGAATCCTATCTATTGGGCCCCTGAGCAAGGCCCTTAACCCCAACTGCTCCAGTGGTGCCATATAAATGGCTGACCCTGCCCTCTCACCCCAAGCTTCTCTCCCTGTCTGTGTGTCTCAAGGAGAGCATTGGGGTATGTGAAAAGACAAATTCCTAATACAAGAAATTGTATATGGCCACTAAAGTGATCTTATCTTATGTACTGAAAACATCAGCCCATTCAGACCTCTTCCCAGCGAAAATTCTGATTTGCTGGTGAAATCTGGATGCAGCCTGCATGTTGGAATGATGTGTTTAAACTTCATTTGTTGTCAAAATTGTATTTCTAAGCCTGTCAACTGGTCAAAACATACAATAAATGATTATATTAAGAGATGTAGCTCAACAACCACTTTTCAAACGTCAACTAAACTCCAATAATTGTTTTTTCAAAACTACATTTACCTGGTAAAAAATATTTATTTTATCCATTCTCATGTTGGCATGTTGTATCCTGCTACATTTACACTATTAATCATCTTAATCAATGTTATCATCTTTTTTGATCTTCACTGATCACTGTTAATCAATGTTTATATCTTCACTTACCAAGACAGGGTTAAGAGAGTCAACTGCTTGTTTTATTTAAGCACATTTAATAAACAGGACTGCTATATATTTACTATACATGGAAAATCACAATTATTACACAGTGCTTGTTTGTTAGTGCCAAAGCTAATGGTAATCAAGGCAAAGTTCATACCAGTCAAATACAGAGCTGCAATGTTCCTTGATAAAATTCCTTGAGGATACTCTGAATGAAAGGATCTATAAAAGGATCAAATTGATTGATTCACAGATTCCTGAGCTCTTAAATCTTCTGGAGTTAAACCCAAATTCAGTTTTGTCTGATGGCCTTCAGTTAGATGGCAACAATAAGAGAAGCTCCATGCAATTTGGAGTATGATCTGATTCTGAAAGACTAGGAAGAGACAGTAAAGATAATGATTGCACGCTTTCCTGATGCAATAATATCTGTGGCAGGAAATGTTGACTAAGCCATGTGACTGTGTTGTTTACAGGGCTTTAAAGCAGACAGAATTGGAGCACTGCTCATTTCCCACAGAAACATAGCCTCAAAAACATGAGTCTAATTAAAACAATATTCTGACTGTAACTATACCCTTCTCTCATAATGAACTATTTCTTTTTTTATTGTACAATCCTATTATTTTATTTAAAACTCTTCATAGACGCTGCAGGAATGGCTCAGTGTGCCACAAAGTATACATGAGCTAATTTCTTCAGAGCTGTAAACTGTCAGAAACTGTCAGGGTTCTTGCTGATTGTGCTTCATCTTCATAAGAAATAGGGCACCAGAAGGCTGCAGTGCCATGCTGTATACATTACTTGTTTGGACCACACACAACTGCCCTAGGTTAGTGCATTAAAATGCAACAAAATTAAAACTAAAAAACAGGGCTTGTCTTTGTGGTATTTTCATATCACATCAGTTTCACTAAGAACAAAACAAGCCATTATTGAGTTCTTTGTTGTCTGCTCATAGGCAATGGTTTCCTTACTGTTCCACAAAGCCTCCCAGGTGGGGGACTGCTCTTGTACCCTGGCTTCAGAAAAATGCCAAGCTGTGTCAAAGAGTGCTAATATAATATTTGGATAAAAAGTTATTAGCTCTGAGTTTGAAACCCTGATCAACTCCACTTTGATGATGGGTGATGGGTTGTGGCCTGTATTGTTCTATATTAGCCTTGACCCAGTCCTATTCAATCCCTTCAAGACCTGAGCCAATGGACCACTTGGTGCAACGAGCCTACTATCAGGCTTGTGTTTAGAATTTTCCAGCATGAGCACAAAGCAGCGATATAAAAAGTAGTCAACTGAATGCACACTCTATACACCCAAAACCTTATCTTTCATAAACTGTCAACATTTTGGCACAGAAGCCCTCATCAGGACAAAACACAAAACAACAACATGGAACAAGGCCACCGCTTACAAACCCTGGCTGGGTCACAGATCCCACAGGAGGGGCCATACTCACATGCGGATAATGCTCTTGACGCTGAAGTTGTCCAGGGGGGCCATGTCTGGGTCGTCGCCCTTGTCGTCCTGCAGGACGATCTGCTGCAGGAGGCGGTCCAGGAGCTGCCAGTGCTGCAGGCTGCCAGCGCCCCGCTTGTCTGGAGGAGGAGAGGGAGAGGAACGGTGAGAGGTGGGGCCGAGTCCGCTCACATCACCGGCGCCTACCTTCTCTGCCGCTGATACAGGCTGTTCTCCCAGAATCCGGCACATTCAGGCCTCTGGCAGATCAGGCCAGTCCACCTGAAGCCCCTTCTGGCTCTCATGATCGATTCAGCACGGTGACAAAGCTAGGCAGACCCCTGCACCACTCATCAGGGCTGAAAGGTGCTTTTCAGTGCAATGCAATCAATCCAGTCAACCAGCAAGTGTGTTAGGATGCCCTTCTAGAAGGGTTTGCATTGTACATAATAAAGACAGATCTTTATTATGATTATTTAACAGATTATTTAACAGAAGGAGGAACACTGTCACAAAATGCACACGACTGCACTTCCTCCTAAAGAACAGCCCCGGCTGAGCCCTGCGACCACTGAGCGGGCATGAGATGGCACTGACTCACATGGCATCTGCAGGCAGTGCTGCAGTATGGACAGCAGGTAGGGGTAGGCGTCCGTGTGAGACAGCTTCTTCTTTATCACCTCAAACATCTGGCTGGCGCTCTTGGTGTCGATGTGCTCCTGGGGGAAATCAAATCACACAGCCCAATGCACCCGAGGCCGCTGTCTCTCAAGCTATCTGGAGCTCTCACCAGCACCAGCAGATCGCCAGCTGAGCTGAGCTGAACCACAACAGAGCTGGGAAAAGCTGCCACAGCCATGTGATGACTTTAACTGCTGAGTGTGGGGGAATTGTTCTCTCATGCTTGCATGGCCACACCTGCCTGCACCCCTGCAATCCCACAGCCCTTGTCTGACGCCCCACAATCCCCCTGGAATCCTGTCGCTTCTGACCGCCCTCTGCACAGACAACAGAGCCGAGGGGCGATGAGCATTCTCATTTGCCCATGTCCGCCTGCGGCTTCCAGAAGAAATCAGATTGGGTTTCTCTTCCCTTGTCTCTATGGTGTGTACATATTGCAAATAAACAGTGAGCCCCTCTGTCCTGCTTTGACAAGGAAAACCAGCTTCTCCGACTCACCGAATCAAAGCGCTTGGCAAGTTCCAAGTCATCCTCATTCCGCACCATTTCAAAGAAGTCTAAGTGCCTGCAGAGGGATGGAGAGCAGGAAGAAGCAAGAATGTCACTGTCGGTGACAGAATGATAGCAAATGTGTCCGCATGGTCGTAATACACTTTGTCATGTTGTCAAACTCGCATTAAGAAGCCCAATACATGAGACTGACATAAACCGAGCTGTTCTCCAGCTTTGAATGTTTTAAAATAGAAATGTTGCTTTGCCTGTATTGTTATTATTGAGTCTAGGTTTGCTGATGTTGCCTTAATTCTCAGTTCCCATTTCTCATCCTAGGGACGCCCTTCCCTTGAACTCTTGACTTAAACACATTCTTTCATGAACCAATCAGTTGCTTGTTTGTAATCTTTGCAATAGGAAAGGTTGGAGCTTTTAAGTTATTTAAGAAGCAATAGATATAAAGTGATCTTTGACATGGTTAGGAACTGAGAACAAGTAGATTGGTGGAAGTAAATCTACAACTTATTCTATTGAGGAATCAAAGATTTCACTGACTGCTCAGGTGGAACAAAAGTCAGGAGGCATGTGGGTCTCCCAGACCAGGATTACTATGTAAAGTACTCAGCACAACTGAGAAGATGATACCCTTCTTGACCTGAAAAACTTGTCTCTAAGATCAGTACAGTTAAGGCTGAGTTATGTCCCGTGGGCAAGATCATGGAAATGAGCTAGGATCTTTTTTGCAAGCACAAATAAGCTCTTAGGACAAAACCAAATCCTGAAATCATACCTGTCCAGGGTGGCATTCTCATGTTCCCTCAGCTTGTCAATCACTGGCTGAATTCCTAACATCAGGAACTCGTACCTGAGATGGAGGCGGAACTCCAGATTATCCTGTGGGACAGCACAGAGAGCCGAGTAAATGGGGATGTTCAAGCTCCCCAGAAGCTGTGACTTCTGTAGGTTCAAGGACCAAAATCTCCACTGTCTGGAAATGTGTGTCCAGCTGGAGGAGTGTGTCTGGGAGTGTCATGAAAGTCTGTCTGTCTGTAAATGTGTGTTCAGCTGGAGGAGT